TCCCTACAGGCCCTGGAAGGGCATAACTTTTTGTCATTCTCCTAAACTACCCAAAAGGAGGGTGTAGTGAGGTGGCTGTCGGACTCTTTTCCCAAGTAACAAGTGATAGGATGAGAGGAAGTGGCCTCAAGTTTCACTGGGCAGGTTTAGATCGGATATTAGGAGAAATGTCTTCTGTGGATCTTTAACTCGCTCATAGGCTTGTTGTTGTTGTTGCTGTCTCTCCTTTTCAGGCAGAGAACGTGCCCCAAAAGGAGCTCATCCAACGCATGCAGTGACCAGGAGGTTAGTGCTAATGGCTTCAGCAATTTCTGTTTCTCTCTTTCATATTGGCTGTTGCACTGTTTATCTGACGATGTTTACTGGGGCATGTTCTGAGTTGTAGAACGGGATCCAGAACTCCACCGTCGATATCAATGAGCTCCAGCTGGTGGTGCCAAGTCGGGAGAATGAAAACAACAACCACTCTGTCAGCCGGGAGCAGGCGGGTAAGCGCCGGGCAGCGGCGGGAGCAGGTCAGGGCACCCCGTAGCCCCCGGCCGGTTAATCAGATCGTTTCTCCCTTGCAGTCCTCCTCACTGTCTCGCCCATGCACAGCTGGAGAGCCACTTCGCAGCAGAAAGCCTTTGTTGTGGGAACTGTTCCTTGCTGCTCTCCCCCCTCGCTGGTAGGGTAATTCCCCTGGCAAGGAGCACACGCAAGCACAGCTCCAGGACGTTGCCAACAGAAGCTGTCATAGCACACGGCATTGCGGTGACTCTGGGTTAGCAGAGCAAACGTGCGGGGTCAGGCTGCTACGACCAACTTAGAAAGACCCATAAATTGTGGAGGAGTTTCACCTGCCCTGTGCCTAACCTTGTCTGGGAAGGATGGGGTTTACAATGCTTACGTTGGCTTTGGACAACTTTGGCTCCTGGGGCTAACTTTTTCTGAAGAGCTTTACGGATGAGACCGCTGTAGATGACATTTACTTCACAGTGGGTTGCGAGAACAAGAGACCCCCAGCTGAGCTGCAGATGATGTCCCTTGCTGCAATTTTGAGTCACAACACACAAATTGTATCAGTGCCCCTTACAGTTGGTGAAGGCCAACAGGGAGCTACTTTATGAAGTGTTGCTGCACACCATCAGTTTCCCACTAAACCATCAGCCATTACACACAGCCCTCACAGGGTTATCTTCCTAAAAAGCTAATTCTGTGCTCCCAACCAGGACAGTTCCCCATCTCCTCCTTTGCCAAAGTCATCGAGGAGGTTGCGGCCAGAGCTCTCCTGTCCTGGACCGGACGGACAGGCCTTGGGGACACGTGGACGCACACACCCCGGTGGCAGTCCCTGGAGCGTAAGGCTGCCTGTAGGAGCAGCGTCACTAGGGTTTAAGCGAAAAGCACAGCTCCCAAAATTAAAAGGGATGAGTAAATACAAATAAAGAATGAGCTGAGCAAATCTGCAAGTTTCTGATCTGCAGCACAACCTTGCGTGTTCAGTACGAGGTATTTCAGTTTGGGTCTGTCTTTTTTAGAAAGCAGGCCCAAGGGTGTTCCTCCCCTCCCCCTTTGTTTTTAAAAGCTTGCAGTTTCAGGAGAGCAAACCGTTGGCTTGCGTTTTGTTCTGGCTGGGGGGCCCGCCCGGGCTGGTCCCCCAGCCAGCCAAAGCCTGCTCTAGATTGTCTGGGGGGAGAGGGAGGAGGGTTTGTCATGGAGAAGTTGGGAACAGATGTTTTGGACTCTCGCAAGCAGTCTTTATTGATTTTCTTCTTTTCGCAGTCACTTCCTGCAGAGGCAGCACAGAACGGTCTCCTCAGGACACCGACCCAGATGTGCCCTCCTCCACATCCGCGGTGACCACCGAGACTGGGAGCGATGAAGTGTTTATTATTTCTGCTGGACCCGGGGCCAGCGGGTTGAGCTTTACCACCTACAGAATACAGGTAGGAATGCTCTTCGGCATCTCTACCGCGCCACGGGATGTCCCTCTTGGACAGCACTTGTCACGTCTGTCCATTTGTGCCTACTGCCCACTTTGCAGGGAAAGTGGCGACTGAGCCAGCCAGTTCCTCTAACCCTCGAGCTGAGCTGCCATCAAATGGCGTGGGCTGTGACCCCCCAAGCCAGTATCTTCCCAGCTTTGAGAAGAGCAAGTGCAGAAGTCTACCTGGGATCCCATGGGTGATAATGCAGAGGTCTGCCAGCAGGCAGTAGGACTGGCCCTCAGAAACATGTGAATTGGCAAAGATGATGCTCCATTAAAAACATCACGTGTAGCAAGTGAAGGGCTTGGAGTCAGACCTGCTCCTGCGCACCGCTACCAAGTGGTCGGGGAAGTTACTGAGCTCCTCAGCTTGCAGAAAACTATGTAACTCTCTCACCAGGCTGATGTGAAAATGAACAGCATACTCAAAAAAAAAAAAAAAAATCAAGCGCTTCAAGTGAAAGCACTGGGATCCTTTCAAATGCACACACAGAAACCTGAATCAGTTCAGTGAGTCCTCTTTTATTTTAGCTCTTTCCTTTGCGCTCCTGGTCAATTATTTGTTTAGAAACAGATGATGGCTCAGCAGCCTCAGGTCTGGCTGCCACCTCTTCAGCGTTGAGCGTAATGCCTGACAGAGCACATCCATTACAAGTCTATGTTAAAATCCATTACAAGTCTGTGTTAAAGCCTTTCCCAGGTCACTACTCTCCTCTCCAGTGCCCTCTCTCCTTTTCCCACAAGAGAAAAAACAACCAGCCAAGGAACTCACATGCCCCAGGACAGTCTGTGTCATACTTCTGTCACAGTTTACAAAACAAAAGCATTCTGTATTCCTGCACTTGATTAGGAAATCAGCCAGGAGGCCAGGCTGGTCAGGATTTTCCTACGCTAGTGTAAGACACGTGCTAAGCTTTTCCTCCAGTCGGCCACACTGATTAACAGAGAGAGGGGAAGAAGGGAAAACAGCTCTGGTGCCTTCCCTTGCCCAAACTCGTTACCTGCTGCGGAGCAGGGCACTGAGCTGTATCTGTGCCCAAACCCGGCATCCTTGAACACCTGCGCTCCTTGGTCCTTTCCAGTGGAGAGAGCTTCACCTGGTGGCAGTCCCATACAAATACAGCTTCTAGACAGAAGGGAAACCCCTTTTCCTTCCTCTTTTCCCCTCTCTAGCCAGAATGAACAAACACACTTAAAGAAAAACATTTCTATTCCACCATCCCTTCTGCAAGCCATCTATCAGAGGAGATTTACATATATATAAAGATAAAATACTTAGTGTTCAAACAATTCTAAGTGAAGGGAGCCCAAAGAATTAAAGCAATTTACCACGTTATTAACTCAGGAGGCATCTCATTCTCAGTGCCATCCATGCCGTGCACCGGCGAGTCAACACTCTCAACCAAATCCCTTCGGGAGCAGAAAACCTGCCCAGGCAGGGTGAGAGGGCCTCTTTGAAAGCTCCGGGTCTTTGCCCACAGCTGAAGCCTGTTCTCTCCAAGGGGATGGAAATTGAGCACAGCAGGCTAATTACAACCCCGCGCTCCACAGGGAGCTCTTCAGGCCACCGGAGTTACTCAGGGTTACTGGATGTTAGAAATAAACATGTTTACAGTTTAATTCCTAAATGGGTATTTTTAGGGTGTTAAAAGCAGCTGGCCAGCCAGCTCCTGACTGCAGCATCTGAGCCCCGCAGCGGGTACGGTGCGTAGCTTTTGTGGACCAGCGCTAGGCAAGTCGGATGAGTTACCCGCTGGAGCGTAGCCACTTTCTTGGCAGGAGCTAAGAAGTTACCCTCGTGTGAACAGACGTGTGAAATCCTGAGCCTTTAGGGCACAGTAAATAACGCCATCAGACTCGCCTCACCCAAAATGCCCGACTAGACAAAGCATGCTGTAGGGAGCTTTCATTAAAAAAATCATCCAGAACTTTTTACTGAGGAATGCTGGCCACTTGGTCTTGTGCCCCCCAGCAAGGGCGAGCCTCAGCTCTGCTGGGCGGGGGCCGGGGATAAACTGGCTTTTGCTTTTTAGCTTTTAAAACCCATTTGAAGAAATCAGTGCCCTGTCAGGAGGCGAGAGCGAACACGCGTCTCCCTACGTGGGTAGCGTGAGGAGGATGGCTCTCAGATGGCTTCTGAGGTCTCCTCCAGGAGGGTCGTGGCTTTCTAGTCCCGTTTGGTTTAAGTCATCGTCCAGCCTTTGGCCAACTTAAAACTGTGACCTCTGACTTCTGCTCAGATGCAAAGGCTTGAGTAAAGAGTATTATCGTGGAAGTTTAAGAAAGGTTTTTTGCCAAAACGTTTTCAAAAATGTAGAAAATACAGTATTCATCTTCGTAGCTACTGCCAGTATATCCATCGCAAAACCAGTGGTTAGCTTTTACACCAGTTTGGAGGTACTTATAATAATATTAGAATAATAAATCCTAAGACAGCCTGAAGAGGCTTCTGAGGAGAAGACAGCTGGCTTATGAATTTATAAATAAAGATTTTTACTTTAATCAAATCTGAGACTAAGAGCTTAATATTGAAACAAACTTATCCAGAGCCTGAAGCCTCTCCCAGCTTCCTCCTGAGATTTTTTTTTCTGCAGTAGTGGCTAATTTCTTGCCTCTCTGCCCATCCATTGCCAATATGACATTTTAGCGAAATAGTTTCTTTGATTTGCAGAAACTTGAGAGATTCAGTTTCTCAGAAATAACAAATGACAAGTTTCTGGTTTCTCAGGACTTTTAAATCCAGGACACTGCGGGATTTATTTCAGGCCCTCTTTAAGGACTACGTAAACTTTGGGAATGTGGCTTTTGCATTCTTCTCATGACAACCGTATTCACGCAGCTGAAGATTAAAAATACATATAGAGTTTTGGAACAGGAGGCTTATATAAATAACAGGTGAAGTATTAGTAAGAATGAAAGGAGATTCACAGAACAGTCAGGGATTCTTTAACTTTTCTGGCTCTAAACCCACATCAATATTAAGGACAAAAATTGTGATTTTAAATGCAACATCAGGGCATATAAAGAAAGTACAGAAGAGATCTTTAGAAGTCGCCTATAGTTCGTTGCCATGTCAGATCAACTCTGCTTATATGCAGAGCTGGTGACAGCGCTTTAATGTGGTCTCACCTTCCGCTGGTGCCAATTTTACACCTGTCTGGACGTCTTGTTCTACTGCTAAAGCACGTTTTCCACCTGAAAAGCATTTCTTACGTGAAATGAAAATCTCCTTGGCTCCAATCTGGGTGTCGTGCCCCTTGTTCCATTCACCACAGACACCGAGAACAGATTATTCCCTTTCTCTTTGTTTTTAATTCTTTTTATTTTCTTAATTCTTCCCTAACGTAGGATAAAGAGCCCCACTTACTTCAGTCTGCCTCCTGAATCATGCGTTTTTGAGACTCCCGATTCTCTCATTGCTTGCTTCTGGATTTCTTTCGGCGGGCCCCGTCCCCCTTGAAGTTTTGTTTCCCCGGCCAGACACATCTGCAGCCTTCCAAGAGCCAAGCAGAGTGGAAGAATTATGTTTTACACAGTGAAGTTTACTACTCTGATCTGTCAGATACCTCCAGTAAAATAAAGCTGTAGATATTTGATGTATTTGGTTAGCGAGAGTGGTAGGACTTTATTTCTTATGTAGCTGAAATTTCCCAATTCAGTGTTAAACCTGAAACTGGGGAAGCAAGGCAAAACTCTCACCCAGGGAAGCCAGCGAAGCGCAGGCAGCACGCTGGGAGAGCAGCAAGGAGCAGTTGCATTCCCGTGTCGTGTCCGGAGACGAGAACCACTGAAGAAATCAGTCCCTTGCACTAACAGTGTATTTTTAAAGCGTTTTACAAACCGTTTGATGAAAGGTGCTGTAAACGATCTTTATTTACTCTTAACAGGACAAAAACCTAAAAAGAAGTGTCACAAGCCCAGCCTCCGTGTCCGACTGGCTGACTACGAACCACACGGCTGCAGGAGCAGACGCTGTGGAGAAGGGGCACGTCCAGCCGGAAAATCACTGTCCCAGACAACGCACGTGGAGCGCCCGCACTTTCCACGACTTCCTGGCTCCCATACCACAGCTACAGAAAAAATGGCGTAGCTGGACCACCACCAGTCCCTTCACAAAGCTGGTTGACAGCGGCGTAAGTCTGGCGAGGAGGGGAGGACGTGGTGGCCGGGGGCTGCGCTCGCCGCTCGCTGCTGGGACACGTTTTCCCCTTGGCCTACGGCTTTGCCTCGCCAGCCTGCAACGCGATGCGTACTTCAGTCCGTCTTGCTCGGTGTATGGGAAGCTCTTTTGCCTGGCTATACTGTAATTTATGCAGGTTTTCCTGAAGTGCTAAGAAGCTGTATTTCCCAGCAGTTAGCACCTGGTTAAGAAATGATCCCCCGTCCAGAAGAACATTAAAAAATGCCTTCAGACTAGATTAGCTCGTTGAATGTTCCGACATGTACCTCTTTTCCCCTGGTTACCCCTTAAATTTATTTTAATTGACGTATTACTATTGCATTGCGAGGAATCCGTAGGTGTGGGAGGGATATCTAGGTCTCATTGACTGTGATCATCAAACCAACAGCTTGTTGCAAAGCTAAAAGAGGATGTTTCTTCTTTTTTTTAAGGTGGTAACATAGGTTTTTGCTAAAGAATGCATCTCACCGCTAACATAACCAGGAATTTTAATTTTTAGTTCCCTTGGCATCAAAGTTTCTCAAGATAGCTGCTTTTCATGGCGCAGCTACTAATTTACTATTATTTTGTGCAGGGTTTTCCTACAGCTGCAAGATCCCAAGGTGTCCCAACCCGAAAGGTGATCTCGGCCACTGAGATAGAGGGAGCATCAGAGACCGTTTACTCCGATTCATCTGCCAGTAATGCCTCATACCCCCTCACTCTGTCTGCACAAAGGCAGCGAAAGCTAAGCTCCTGCAATTTGAAGAAATCCAGGTTTGGGAACCCTTATTTTGGATTTTTAGCCAGTTCCCCTGACAGCAAACATGTGAGGTCCTTGGATCCCTCAAGACATCTAGGGGCAGCATCTCCAGCTAACAACCAAAGCCCCAAAAATCTTCTAGAGAGCTCCAACCCACTGAAAATCAACTTGGTCAATGGTTCAAAAACAAAGGAGCTCATGGTAGAAACAGATAAAAACAAACCAGTTTTTGTTATTTCAGAAGAAGGGGATGATCAGCAGCCTCTGGTCCTCGCAGAACATCTTAGTCAATGTGGGGATCATCTGTCAGAGCAACACGCTGCGTATGCTCCAGCTGTGCCAGACAAACAGCCGGCGGTTCTGACTGTCGAGGGGAGCAGTTCTGCCAGCTTTGCGTCAAACCTTCCCCTTTGGGCAAAATCCCCTGGTTTATACAGAGGTCACGTGAAGGCCCCTAGCTCTTCCAGGGACCAGCTGAGCTCGTCAGCTGTAGATGCTAATACTACTGAGACCTCACAGAACTGTGATAGCCTAGCTGCTCCAACGCTATGCCAAGCTTCGGTCCAGTGATGCCCTCAGAAAGATTGAAACATCAGTTCACAAAACCAGAGGCAAGAGGGACGTGATCAGAGTGGAAGCTGTGCCAAGTAGCTGAGCGTGGCAGTCGTAGATGGATGCAGCGTTGTTAAGAGTGGTCTTTGCTTCCCACCCGTTGGGACTGGGGTTAAGAGGAACCATAGATAGCACAGCACAAATGCCCTCTTCCCTTACGCTCACTAACCTCATCTCTGTTCTTCTGCATGAAATTTTGACGTGGTTTATACAAGAAAGCATCCTCTGAAAAGCTACTTCAGGCTGCAGAAAACCTTTTCTGGAATGAGAAATGAAAGTCATCTGAGATGGTTACATCCTGGTTTGTACCTGGAACGCGAATCAGTCCTCTCTCACTGTGGTATCGCTTGAGTCTTTCTGTTGGGAGCTATGAGTTGAATTCTCTTTGTAGCCATGCCTGTACAATCCAAGCCTGGCCAAGCCAGGGGTAAGAATTCAATCATGCATGTTTGCGTACAATTTCGTAAACTTAATTTTAAGCATTTCATAACTTCTGCACTCTAGCACACAGTTTACCAAGCGTTAGCACCTCTAATATTAAAGACCACAATTATCTCATATCCTCTTTAGAGAAGTGTACAGACAAGCTGAGCAACCCAATACTGGATGCTAGTTCTATAAAAGTCTGATGTAGCTTTATCTTTGTTAGATCTACATAGGCTTAAAACACCTCAGTCCACTACATTTTTAAGTGACTCCTCATGGCAACAGGAGCATGTGTACAAAAACACTGAAATACTAGGAATAGCCTTCAGCATCCGACACTTGGCTATTTGCAGCTGCTCTGATCCTATATCCACCAGCTATTTATTGCTGGTAACGCACATTGACTAGAGAACTATTTCCCTTCCTTTAGCAGGCAAGATTTAAAAGACAAAGTGGGGCAAACTTGGAGCGCTCGCTTTCTTTAGAAATGAACTGTAAGTGGCTGTGCCTCCCTGATTACAAGTCCAGGGCATTCAGGGGAACACTGAACCGAAGGGAAGCCTGCTAGTCCTACTGCCTTTAATAACCCCGTCAGTATTGTGATTGCCTCCTGGTGATATTTTTCCTATCTTTGCAAGAGATTCCTGCATGTTCAGCCCACAACTTAGAATTCTTTTGCTTTCTTAAATGAAACAAATTCCCTGTATTTCACAGCTGACACGGCACGTCGTTTTAAAGCAATAGTATGTCATAAAACAGGTGTCAGAAATCAAGCTGTACAAGTCTCCCCCCTACGTTAGCCACTGCGTGCATCGAGTTATCTTAAGCCTTCTATGTGAAGGCATTTAAGTCTGATTCCTGAAATATTTAACTGAATGATTTACAATTTCACCTGCTGCTACAGCTTCCATTTGCCCCCTAGTAATGTCTGAGATACGCAACACAAGACGGTAGGTTTTGCCTTATATTTTGTGCATGTGTTTACGTGCCTACGTAGACACAGAAGCCTTGCATCTGGTAGCAGTGGAAGCAAAACCATACGTGCCCTTTAGCAGTTGACTCAAACACGACCAGCAAACAGGGCTCTGCGTTTGTTATTATCAGACTGCTGAGTAGTTTTGAAGCACAAAAGTCTGGCTCCAAGTTGGGCATTTTTTGTTGTTGGGTTTTGGTTTTTTTTTTTTTAAATTAATACTACATGATTCAAAGGGAAGAGTTAATATATTTATGAATTAAGGAAATATTTAGAAGTCTTCAGTACTCTAATAACAACTTCCACTGCATTAAATTCATATTCATTGTAATTCAGAGTCAATGTTCTGTTACTTATTACATTTCTAAAGATTGAAGTACTAAAATCTACTTTTGAAAAGTACTTGCGTTCAGTTATTGACAATAGCTACATTTGAAGGGCTGGGAAAAGTGGCTTTTTCAATAAAAGCGTGTTTAACTATTCATTTCTACAACGTAACGACACTTATTTTGTTTATTTTGCTGAAAGGCTAAGCTGTAGGGCCTCGCCGCGGCGCACCAGTGCGTTGCGCGGTGCGCGCCAGTACCGTGACCTCCCTAGCAGCTGCTGCAAGGGAAGGAGCACAAAAGCTGCTGCGCCGTTCGGTAAGCGAACGCCCGAGGATCAGATCCTGTTGGATTTCTCCTCAGGAACCTAGCAAGAGAATGGGGTGGTTGCTTACACCGACTTCCTCTGCTACCTGGTTGTGTAACCAAAGGACAGATTTTTCTAGACCTGCGAAGGCTGCTGCCGGAGGCTGGTTTCTCTGGGATTTCTTTTCGCACGCCGCGTACCTCCTCCGTGGGTGCCGGCGGTAGCAGTACGTAGCCAGTTATACCTGATTTAGTGCCTCGTGTATCTCATGTTCAGCGTGGACCATAGACATATATGCGTGGAGAGAGGCCCTCCTCTTGAAGAGTATGCAATATTGAACAACGCTGCTCATTCTCGGGACAGAGGCGGCCGATATTCCCGACTATCCAAAGGCCATGTCTTCTGCCCGGGGTGATACTGAAGCCCAGCACCCAACTGCTGCATGCTCAGGTACGCAGAGACGGCCCCGCGCTCTTGGGCAGCCCTGGCGAGCCAGGACTACAACACAGGGGAGACTTCAGCTTAAGTTCCCGACTTGCCTTTTGCAAATTCCTATTTTTTTTTTTTAGGCAGATCACTAAAGTTAACTGCTAAGGAGGTACTTGCGTTGTTTTGTACCTTCAAAGAATTTATATTTTCTTCCTCTTACAGCTAAAGGAACCATTTTGAAATTATCTTTTTTTTTTTTTTTTTTTTAATTTTTCCCCAGGATCAGAAACAGCTTCCACCCATACTCTTCAAAAAAAGTCATAGCGCAAATTTAAGAAATTCTAAAAGCTCCGGGTAGAATAAAGTGCTCTAATACTCTCAGCTGTATATATTAACTGGGATTAATTTTAAAATAGTATTACTTAATGACATTTATTTTGTTCCTAACAGCTGTATTACTTCCAAGAGCTATGCTGCCACTTTTTAATGACAGAAAAGGCACGGGCTCAGGATTCAGTTTCACCTTTGTGGTAATGCAGTCAGTTTACGCTGTGCTATTTTGCATACTGTAACTAAGCAGCAAATGGGATAAGCATGCTAAGCACTTGCTGAAGAGGAGGAAAACAATTTCAATCACAATTGCATGGGAAAAAATGTCCAAAAATGTTATGGAGTTAAGGAACAGAAGGAGTATTCTTTTCAGTAAAGCTGGATTTGAATAATGTGCACTTTTTAAAAAATTAATTATTCTGGAATATACTAGGCAATCCCTCTAGCCAATGTGCTAGGTAGGTTGAATAGGACAAAAATACATGGGCATTCCCTATTTTTTAATTGTTGAAACAGAGCCTCAAAATAAAAGCTTGAAGGTATACAAGCTGATGAGAACCCTGTGTGTTAGGCTGCTTACTGTCGGGTAGTTAAAATGGTTGAGAATGAAGGCTCAATGGGAAAACGATCCCAAAGATTTAAGATGCAGCTAATGCATCCTAACTTTCAGGATTCAGAGTAGCATTCAGCAAGAAAAATCCATTTATAACTTCTTAGCAGAAACACAAACTGAGGTTTCCTTTCAGAAATCTAACTTTAAGAGCAGTTGGTTACAAAGCATCCTACTCATAACCGTTTGGGTTTTTTTTACCCCCATGAGAAGGGCACATGAGCCCTAACAAAGCACATTTGACTCAAATAGTCCAGTCAGTTACCAGATTTTATTCTAAACAATTAAAGATTAATTTGGATTGCGAGGAAAAAAAGTCCTAAGCCAACACTTACCTAACGAAAGCAAGCAACTGAAACTCAGCAGCACTGAAAAGAATACCCAGCAGAGCCCAAATATAGCTTCAATATACATTCATGGTCTGTCTAGAAATGTCTTTGATGTTAAACCTCATATGGCACACTTAGCATTTTTTATAATTCATTTCCTATGGAAACTAATGAGCTTAAGGGTGAAATTACCTCATTGAAAGTCAAAATGGTGAAGTGTGAAGAAAAGAAGGATGACCTGAAAAGCAGATTTAGAAGCAATCTTTGCATATTAAGCATTGCTGTGGGAAATAGTATAATTAGTTTTCTTCAGAAGTTATTCCTTGGAATAGTGTAAGTGGTATTTCAGCTCCCAAACATCATGCAGAAAGAATGTTAGATAAAATAGGTGGAAAAAATGCAAAATCCCCACACATTCTTTTTAAAAACCAAGAGATCCCTTTCCTAACTTCCAGTAACACAGTGACTGTTGGTTTATTTTTAGAGGGCAGATTGTACAAAATAAGGCCCCCTTCCAGCAGAAATTTCTAAGAGGCCGTAAGAAACCAGATTTTCAGAGCATAATTTAGAATTGAGCATTCTCTTCTCAAATGCCTAACTCCTTTTACTTGACTCAACTTATTTCCCTAAGCTCCTGCTGTAGGCTAAGCCATCTGCACCACACAGTTCTACTGAAGACTAGAAATCGATATAAAATGGATGTATTTTATTTGCAGAACGAATGAGCTAATGATTGAGTGTCAAATACCAAGATTTTTCTATTCAATTCAAGGAAAACAGCATCAGAGCTTAAACACAAATTCTCCTACACAGTTGTCGATTCAAATACTTGAGACACACCGAGGGCTCTGAGATTAGCACCAAGTGTTGAGATTAGTACGTTGTCAGCTATTCCAGCCGCAAAAGGCCATATATTGTATTCTTTCTCACAATCAGGCTACCATCTTCCTTTAGTCTTTACGGAGGAAGTGCTTGGAAGAGCTTATGCTGTGCCAGAACTGATCACCTGATAGGGCATAAATCCCAAACCAGCAGCTTCCTCAAGCTAAATTAGTTACAAGTCATTTGCTGACATAATGGAGTATAGAACACTGAAATCCACCAAAGTAAGTGCAGGGCAAGCCAAAACCACTACACCTTTTAAGGTCTGTCAGCTTGTCTTTCTGGTGTACAGAACAACACAGCATTTTCACTTTTACATTACTTAACCTGAGTCAGAATTTCTCTT